AATAATATACAATAATGTTAATGCAATGACTTCGATACTTGAAAATTCCTTTTTTTTTTATTTCTTTTAATAAACTGATCTTCCTTCGTCTGATTTATTGAATAGCTCTTTTACACTATTCTCATGGTTGTATGCTAACCTTCTTGAAGTATTTATCAGAAAGACGCGACAGCGATTTATAGCTTTTTGCTTTGTTTCATTAATACTTCTAATTTACAAGCAACAAATTGAAAAGTAATATGAACAAATATACTTATGATGTTATAAAATAAATGTTTGATATTTGTATTTATGTATAATGTCATTCATTCTTGATTGAACATTAGATATTTCTATGATAGATATATAGCAAATTGATCAGTAGTTCTTTTTTATTTTTAGAATTTATTTCTACTTTGTCAATTTGAAAAATGTCATACTCTCATAAAGCTAAAGAGATGTGTACAGAAGTTGATACAAGTCAATATGAAAGGTATGAATTAAGAATTTAAATCAAATCATAAATACATATATATATATATATTTAGGATTGATATGAATCAATTTCGTAATTGGCTTTCAACTGGTGAAATATCGATTTCTTCATCGTGTGGAACATCAACTGGTGGACTAAATCGCAATGAGCATATTGGTAGTCGACGTGATCGTTATGAATATCATGTTAGTTGTCATAATGCTTTGGAATCTGCGACTGATAAAAATGTTTCATATGAAACTACTCTGTAGAAAAAAGAGTAGAATAATAAACCCTTGAAGGGTTTATCAAAATCAAATACTCATTCATATACCCTTCTGAAAGGTTTAGAAAAGGGTTTAGCAAAATGTTAAGTACACTCATATTACTTCTTCCACTGAACACCCAAGACTGAAAAAAGTTAAAAAAGATCGGATCAACATTTCATAATAACCAAATCTTCGAATAACTTTTACGAACGTTTGTCTACTTCTGATAGATTTGACTAGCAAGAGCAGTAAATATTAGTATAAGATATAAGGAACATATTATCTTTCTAAATCAGTTGTAAAAGAACGACGTCTGAAAAATCTTCTTTTATGCGTAAAATAGTATAATTCTCGCTAAAAATCGAAAATTGTATCCTTATGCAAAAATCATAAACCCTTTGCCTTAAATTCATAGATAGTATATACTTACACGTAAAATAATAAACCCTTCCATTCAAACCGTAGAATAGTAAACCTCTTTCCTTGAGTTTCAAGGCAATAAACCCTTAGGTACTTCCACGCAGCTTCTCCCAGATTTACATCGACTTTCTGCCGACAAGATTTAAGTATGCTAGTCTTGTAGCCCTTGTCAAGTTATGTACGAATTAATATTTGGTTTTGATTGGAATCATGTGTTAACTGAAAACAGTAGGCTCAAAAATCGATTTTCTCGAAAAATGGCTCCGAGAATCAGTCTATTATTTTTTTGTTGAGCATTCTTGTAGGCTTTCGATTTAACCATTTGATAGAGCATAAAAAGTCATTTTGGTAAAACAATTTTCAGCATTATATCTCTAAAGTTCATCGTATGAGAACATCTGAAAATTTGAGAAATATTACCCTTTCTGATAAAAATATAATTATAAAATTTGCATATTCAATCAGAGATCATAACATTTAATATTCAAAACGAACATTACACTATGCTTATTCAAACGTAATATGTTAGTTTTTTCCAAAGCATTCCAGTCTAAATATGTGGCTGTAAATGGACCAGGGGTCTCGAAAATCTGCCTATTAAGTCTCGATTATCTCAAAAATCCCACGTCAGAATTTGATGATAAATTTGTTATAGATAAAGCTCAACGAGTACTACTAGTGATTAAAATATTAGACTTCGCCTTTCAAGATTACATGAGCTGGAGTTTCCGCAAGTTTGCCCAAATTTGAGGTCCTATAGTTAGATTTTGACAGATTCTATTGTTTAAAAGAGAAGATTAACAACTGACTATAGGATTTTTTTATGCTGATCACAAACCATAATGTCTCTTGCTTATGACTAAAATTTGAGAAGATTTAAAAAAAACTGAAAAAATAGAAAAAAACTTAGTGTTTTTTCGATTTTTTAATTGATCAATCTGGGATGAATCATATAGATCATTTAAGAAATTTTGCTTGTCACTACATTGATTTGTCAATGATGGTGAAAGCTAGAGAAAATCAATTTTCTGAAAACATTTCTTCGATTTCCTCAAGTTGGTGAAGGCAAATCAAGTAGGTTTTGCGTGTGTCAAGCTTCGGCGCTTCGTCGAGCAAAAATATAATAAGTGATAGTTTCACGTTTAGTTGATCACGACTCTTAGGAAATTTAAATGATGTTTGTGGACCAGATGTGTGTAGAACATCGACTTTTAATTCTTGTAAATTAACTTCAATTCTTTAATTATCGCTAACCACCAATATTCATCATATTGAACAATAAGATAATTATGAATTTTGACGTCATCAATTGTTAAAACATTTTTGGCATATTTGACTTTACGTGGATTTGGTGGAAGCATTGAGAAATCTTCATAAATGTGAACGTTAGAAATTGCTTTGCAACGCTTTGTTTTACTATCAATCGATCGAAAATGACGATACAATCGTATTCCTAATTCTTCGCAACAATGCAACGAATATATATATTAGGGAACTGCAAAATCACTTTTTTTAGTCCCGGTCAAGGTCCCGGTCTTTGACAATGGTTTCATTTCTAAAATCGAGCAACTTTTTTTTCGATTTGTGTACTTTTATGAATACATAAAATTGACATGAATGATTTTGATTCGTTAACAGTACGAAAATTCTTTTATATCCAGTGTTAAAGTGAAAGAATTTCACTGAAAGCTCGAATAAA